TTAGGGTAATAATTTGTAATAGGTTGTTAATATTTTGAATTTGGTCCTTTGGGTGACTGGAAGCCAGTGGAGTGATTGGAAGAGGGGGGTCACAGACACTGAGCGGTTGGTTAGGTGGATGATTCTAGCAGCAGCATTCATGATAGACTGAAGGGGGGATAGTCTGTGTAGAGGTAAGCCAATGACGAGGGAGCTGCAATAGTCAAGATGAGATATAACAAGGGAGTGGATGAGTAGCTTTGTGGTTTCATAGGTGAGGAAGGGGTGTATTTTGGAGATGTTACGAAGATGAGGGCAGCAGGATTTGGATAGTGATTGGATGTGGGGCAGAAAGGTGAGGTCTGAGTGAAGGATGACACCTTGCACCTTGGCATGGGGGAAGGGTTGGATAGTTGTGTTATCAATCTCAAGGAAAAGTTGGGGGAAGGTACACGGGTGGGAGGAAATATCATGAGCTCAGTTTTTGAAAGATTAAGTTTTAAGAAGTCTTGTGATATCCAGACTGATATGTCAGTTAGTAAGTTAGTGACACGCAAGGACACTGAGGGGGTGAGTTGTGGAGTAGAAAGATAGATTTGAGTGTCATCGGCATAGAGATGGTATTGGAAGCCATGTGAGGTTATCAACTGACCAAGGGAGGACTTGTAGAGAGAAGAGAAGGGGTCCAAGGACAGGGCCATGGGGGAACCCTACAGAAAGAGGAAGCGGAGGGGAAGAGTTAGATTTGTAGGAGACACTAAAGGAGCACTTAGATAGGTAGAAGAGGGAAACATGAGAGAGCAGAATCTTGTAGGCCAAGCGAGTGGAGTTTTTTTGAGGAGCAGTGGGTGGTCAACTGTCATTAGTAAAGCTTGTTCACATATCAGCATTGCAATTTGCATACATGCACAGCACATGTAAACCTGTTTACATGTGTTGTACGGTGATTCTATTTTCTGAAATGATGCGGTTTGGGTTCACTTTGAATATATTGCTTTGTTAGGTGTACACTTAGGGCACCTTATCACCACACTCAGACTTCTGTTTGAAAACCACAGGTCTTTTGGATCTGTGGCTTTCAGCACATATACTGTATGTATCAAAAGCCCTATTATGCATATTATTAATATCATAATCTATTACTTTTGTCAACAATATTCCCTTCTAATATATTTTAATTTTAGAAAGGCTCAGCATTAGTAGCAGTATTTATAAAAAAAATAGTTTTTCTTCATTTCAAATCTCCATGACAGTACATTTGTTTTAAATACTGCAAACAGACAACTATTCACATTTGTGAAATTCGCTTGCAGTTCCAGGGTAAGTGTCTGACTGATGTGTTATGATCAGAACCACGTGTGTTACTGTGTATTTTTACAGTCTACCTCACTGGCATTCAATGTCTCTTGTTTTGATCATCTCTTTATCACAGGCCTTTGTTTATTGCTGCTGTCCAGCGATATCAGGAATTCATCAGCGATCTCCAGATTCAGGTTACAAATTACTGTGTCAACGTTTGTGCTACAAGCCTTCTTCAGGATGCAGAGAGCCACCACTGGGATGACAACAAAGCATTTTATGAGGTGCGATTGTAAGGACAACACATTGCTATATTTCAGTGGCTGACATGATAGGAAATTCAAACCATAAGCTCTCCTCCATTTCGTCTCCCAGTAGAGGCACCTGTACAATGGGCAGATAGCTGCAGCTAAACTCCAGAGAATATGCTTTCTCTATATATCTATAAATGCTTGATTGAAACAGGAAAATGATTACCGTAAAGCAAACAATGTACTATTAGAGTTATTAACACGGAAATTCCTGTTTTGTTATTGTCTTTACTTGTTTGTGTTTGAAAGTTACATAGGTATCCTATTTATATAAATGTCTTTTTGTTTGGTCAGTGCCAGTCCAGTAATTTGGCTCCTACCCAATATCTGCAGAGTAAAATGCCAGCCACACATGCCTCTAACTGCACTGTGAGTCATATCTTCAGTGGTGATTTCCTAGTCATTGTAAGCCTTTAAACTGTGCAAAAGAAAGGTAGCATGGACCTTTATTCTTTTCTACAATAGTGGAGCATGTGGTATGCCACAATTGGCATAATTGTGTTGACATACTTATTATAGTTGTGTTTGCAGCCCTGATATGAAAATCCAGTGCCATGAAGCCTCCCTACTGAACGTTTTGCCTCAGTACTCTTAGTGCTGCTGCCACCTCTTAATATTTGGTGTGCACTGCCCTATTACTTTCACAGGAGAACCTTTCTTACATAAAAGGCAGCAGCACACGCTGAGAGGGTAGGAAAGCAGTGGAAGACCTTCATTGTGCAGTAGCTATATATCAGATCAAGCCAGATGTATATTTTGTAAAAACCTAACAATAGACCTTGTTTATCAAAGTTTCTAAAATACCTTTTTTATGGCACCCACAGCAATCAACCTTGTGATTTTTCTATACAACGCTTCAACATGAAAATACTCCTAACTTGAAATAGTAGTCGGACTTACGTAGACAAACAATCTTGAGAGCTATCTGGCAATAGCACAGATATCAGTATTGAAACCCATGCCAGAAAGGCCTTTGGTTGCAACCAAGACACAAAAGGATACTTTACTCCTCCTGGGTGGGGGGTTGGACATGGGACTAATTAACAATCCTATAAAAAAAAATCAAGGTCCTTCCTAACCCATTTAAATAAGTAGTAATAAAGCATTACATAAAAAGTCTAATTACTAATTTTGGACAGCGCACACAGATCTGCATATAACTGATTTCAAATACTTGATAATATAGTAAAGTCCAGTACATTGAAATAAATTGAGAGATCTGTGTCACAACATGAAGATATTTGCTGTACAAGTGATTTGTGAATTAAGCAATCTATTTGGCATTTAAGATGTAACTGTGCTGCCATTTCTGCACCAGACCTTTGCTCTTGATAGAGTCCTAAATGATCATCTTCACTCAGTCTTCCATGTAATTACTGAAACCTTGGTTTTGTCACCAGGGTAAATGATTACCTGTGTAATGATAATATTTTGGAGGTTTATGGGATAAGGCCCAGATGTTTGTTTCCTTATGCACAAGTAAAATCTCACATCTGTTTATGTTGTACTAGCTTACAAAAATAGCAGATGTTGGCAGGGAGAATAGAGCAAGGAATAACTTCAGATAGGATTCCAAATATATGAGCTAAATTAATGGGCTATATGTTGGATATTTAAATTATATTTCTGTTGTGACTAACTATTGTGCACTCTGACTGTATGCCTTACTAGCACTTATTTTTATACTATGGGTTAAGGTATAGATTGTAGCAGAATAAAAATCCTAAAGTTAGGAAAGTATTATTGTGATTTTATTTAACTCAGTTATGTGTGGTGCTTGTATTTCATAATAACACATTAAACTAAGCATATGTGTTGTTCGGAATCAGAACCCAATGGCCGCAGACAACACACAAAAACTTTAGCGTGCCTTTACTGGGCCCCGGGATATTCCATATAATTTCAGTTTGCATTCCACAATGTCAAATCAGACATTGCATCTCCCGGTGCAAAGCAGGGGCCTCGTGTACCAATTGATTAGTTGGGGTAGAGCCCGAGAGTCAAAATTTGCAAAGAACTGCAGCCCAAGCAAGGTTAGCAATAGTGATTTGCAGTAAACAATCAGAAAACACTTTAAAGCAAGGCACCACTTTGAAATTTACTATATAGTACACTAAATCAAATAATAGATGTTAAAGTGACATTAAACCCTCAGATTTTTTAACATAAACCAATACTGTAATGTGTGCCTTACTGTAATCCATGGTTGTTTCCCTTCTCTTTGCTGCTCTTCCTTTTAAATCCTCATGTCTTCTCATGCTTGGGGAGAACTTCCCTTTTCAGCTCAGGGCCTCTTCCTGTAGTGCTGGCTCAGGTTACAAGCCTATACAAACTTATACACAGACACTGTGTATCCATTCCTGAGACAAGGCAGTCTGCTGCAAAACAGAAGTTCTGCAGAGCATGAGAACAGATACAGATTTAAAAGGAAGAGCAGCAAAGAGAAGGGAAACAACCATGGATTACAGTAAGGCACACATTACACTAGGGTGAGGGTTTAATGTCACTTTAAGCTGAAAAGATCATCACAATAACCTTTTTGAAAAGTAGCTCTTTTCAGTAGCACTCCAAGTGTGATAACTATATAAATAACAAAACAATCACTTTTTCCTCCGACAGTTCACAGAGACATTTACGATGTATTACGATTTATATAACAGTATATATAAAACTTTCAATGTACGTAAAACACTTGTGTCTTAAAATCACCTCTCTTAATGTGAAACCTTAAAGATTCAAAAACACAATCAAAGTAGTTGAAATCCCAGTGAATGTCCCTAATCTCTAAAGAGTTAACTCCAATCTTAATACAGGCTATTAGTTTATTAGTTCCACCGAGTCTTGTCCCCAGAATTGGGCCAAAAACAAAAATGAAAGACACAGTACCTCAATATTTGCATGCACTTGTCTCTAGTTACTTCTTAATAGCCCACTCCCCCTTTTACCATAGTAACAATGTGGTTCCCACACACAAACCCTTGCTGGGTTTCTGCTTCTTAATGCAGCTTATTCATCTGGCCAAATGAATGAGCGTATGTGCAACACACAACCAATTTTGAAGGGCATTTTCCAGCTCCTTAAGTTAATTTTTGTGTGTGGTGTGCAACAAACTGCAGGAAAAGACATTTCTGATGAAAGCCAGAGTGTGGAGGAAGGTAGAAGGAGCCTGTAATCTGCAAGAACCTAAGAGGCAAGCTATAAAAAACGAGTATTAAGAAGTGGAAGATACCAAAATCTGGCAATGGTTATTGTGCAGGGACCATGCTATTACTGTGGTAAATGTAGGAGCGGATCTTGGTTTTTGGGGCTACTAAGAGGAAACCAGACACTAGAATGTGTGGATATTGAGGTGCTGTGTTTCTCCTTTTTACTGTTTTCAGCCTAACTCCAGAGATGAGAGTCTGATCAGTGGAACTATTAGCCTATTGTATGATTGGAGTGCTGTAACCCTTTAGTAAATAAGAACATGTCATGTTTTTCTTTAATTGTATATTTTTCATGTAGACTTCGTGATCTGGAAATATGATTTCAGTTGTTTCCATTCACATTCTTTGGTCCTATACTGAAATGTTTATTTTACTAGCCAGGTGTAAGTTGACCACCAGTGATAAAATCATAAGTTGTAAGAACCGCTGAAGAGAAGAATGATCAATTCTGAAACCTTATTGATCTTAATCACTCCACATTTGTTTATTATCGCTTGAGAGTTGAAGAAAACTTCCACCGAGGCACCATGGAGGCTGTTGTTGCTGACTTCTCCTATTAAAAATACTATGTCAGATCCACTGGTTTCACTGAATCGGAACAAGAATGCAAATTAGGAGTTTTCTGTTCTTTTTCACTTTCTTTCTTACCAGAGAGGCAGACATGTGGTAATTGAAGGTGGTCAACAATGTCTGCATCTGTATTTTTTTTTCCAGTAAAAGTCTCCTTTAACACCCACTCCCCTACCCCCATGTGGACTGATCATCAGAAACAGTGTTTGAACATTGATTGAAATATATGGGCAGCTTCACACTAATCCAAACATCAACGAGAAAACTGTGTAAGACAGGCTCTAATACTTCACAGCAGTTTTATTCTCTAGATACAATTTTTTAATTTAGACTTAAAACTGATTTGTTGATATGAGGCAATATGAGCTATCTGAGTCACTTCTCACCTTGGTAAATAAGTCCTGCTATATTTTTAATTTAGTAACTGACACAGCAGAGTACAGTGTTGATCACTTCCAAACTGTGCTGCTTTTTTGATCATTCCTAAGAACATATAATCATTAAAATATTTTTTAGAGTTATTGGCCTTTTGGAAATAATGATGTGGATATATAATACAGCGGAACAACTCTATGGCAATTAATGAGATGCAAAGTTGTCTTTTTGCAGTCTAACAGAACCTGGAGAGCACATGTGTTATAATAAATACAGGTCACTGTGACCTGTCATAATATATCAAAGCAAATTTCACAAGCAGTGCAGTCTGAGACAGATAAATGGTAAGGAAATAACTATCTCAGTAATAGGGTTTGCATGTTTGATCAAGAGCTGCTGAGTAAACCTAGAGCTGAATAAAATCTAAAATCTTTATTGATGAATCTCTGTTCATATTAGAATGCATTATTCTCGGCATAATAGCATGGGCTGATTTTATTTAAGAAGTCCCGGAAATTACACTAATCTTCTGATCTGGTCAGGAAGAAATGAGGTCATCTTAATCTATTAGAACATCTGCCAATTCCTCATAAAGTCGTAAAAATCAGTTTTAGCGTATGTAATAGGTGAAACGTCTTGACACATCTTAAAAATGTTCTGTGGCCTGTGCTCTCGCATGAATACATATTTATGTGAGTGAAGTTGTGTGCTTAATTTTATTCTTCTGCCCTTTCATAATACACTGGAAGAAGTTCATAAAAGTCCATTAGTAATGCTAATGAATCTACACAAATGTGGTTGCCTGAACAACTCAAATAATGTTTCTGTTAAAAAGGCATCATCGGGTCAAGTTTAACAATTGCACCCACATCTTGTTAGCTTTTTCTTCCTTCATTTTATGAGGCATGAGATCTCGGATAAGAAATAGAACAACTTCCGTAACCTAGAGTGTAATAAATCAATAACAATAAAAGTAGAATAAAGCTGGGAATGAAGAATGAAGCACAATAATATTACTGGCTGGAAACTGCAGATAATATGAAGATTCTCAGACAGTGGCTTTTTCTTTAGATTTTTACCAAGCATGAAAATCTAGGTGTGGCTAAGGGCTTATCTTGTCAGGTCTTTGTTAGCTTCAGAATTGCAGTTCTATCAATACAAGTCAATGGAAATGTAATAGCGGCTTGAAGCAGATTGAAGCAGTTTTGAACAAATTCAAATACAGGTCAGTAGTAGGTCAAATGCAACTTTCACTGAACTGTGATTTATTTCAGGAATGTCTCATAACTAATATTTTAATGCAGTACAAATGAACCTAAAACCAACCTTTGTTTGCCTGTCAACACAAGCTCAAAGTCTGTCACAGGTCCTAGGAGGTCCCAATTGGGAAAGCTAAAGCACTACTTTCACCCTAGTTTTAAATGACAATGCACCGCAAAATTATATTGCAGTCATATGTGAAACTCATGGGTTAAGCCATGTTTAATCTACTTATGACTGTAGACAACTTCATAGCAAGATCTCCTTTCTATTGTTGCTTTTGCTAGTCATCTTAGGGATGTACGTTTTCTTCAGGTTCAGGTGCCTGGTTATAGCCATAGATTATTTTCAGAGTGCCCTGGGATCCCCAAAATACATGACACTCTATCATGTAAACAGGTACTAGAGAGCCTGGGCCACATCCTCCGCTTCTGCATATTCCTGTGGCCAGTGAGGCATACATTGAATATGGCATCAAAGAAAGAAAAAAGTGGGCCAGAATTCAACCAGATATTATCTCTATTTGAGTGCCTGGGTTTTGAGGATCTTGGGGTACTCTGAAGGTCATCTAAGAATAAAGCAATGACTAAAAAACTCCAGCACTAAGGGAGTTATTCACGCAGGAGCCGAAGGATCCAGCCGTAGCTTCGGCTCCCTACGGCCGCCAGAGCTCTTCCGTTTAGTCGAATCGAAGGGCTGCTGTACAGGCTATTCACTATAGCCTGTACAGCAGGCAAAGGCAGCCAAACCGAAGGCATAGCAGGACGAACGGCCGGCCGTTGGCCCTGCAAATTATAGTTGGGCGCAGCCAGTTATGATTTCACGGCTGGCTCTGCCCAGTTGTAATGACAGATCAGTGTCCCCAAATGACCTGGGGACGCTGATTTGTCATTAAACAATAACAACTGGGCGGAGCCGGCCCGTGACGCCACAGCCGGCTCCACCCAGTTGTTATTCATTGGCCGGGACCTGCTAGAAGACTCTAGCAGCTGTCAGCCAATAGGAAAGAGTTGGACAGAGCTAGCCATCACTGCTAGCTCCATCCAATTGTTTTTCTTTTTTTAAATATCTTTTTTTTAATTTTACTATTTATTTACATTTTGAAACAAAAAAAACACCTTTTTTTTTTTCATACTGTTTTCACTGATTTTCTATTCTGCTCGGTACCACGGAGGTACCAAGCAGAATACCCGAGCCGAATCCCGCTAGGCAGCATTTGGCTATTCACTCGCTGCCGTTCGGCCCCTAAGTGAATAGGAGCGAACGACAGCGAGTGAGCTGCTGGAGCTTCGGCTCAGCCGATTCAGACGTTGGATCGGCTGAATCGAAGTCCATCTGCACTTCGGCTCAGCCGAACATGCAAAGCGTGTTCGGCTGACTGAAGGCAGCCAAACATGCAGAGCATGTTCGGCTAACTGAAGGCAGCCGATGCCACACTGAGCCGGAGTGAATAGCCGAAAGTTGTTGGGCTCTGTTCACTATGGCTCAGTTATTCACTCGGCTGCCTTTGGCAGCATAGTGAATAACCCTGTAAGTGTTTATTACAACATTTAAAAAAAACTATGCATTAAATAAAAAAAATCCCCAAAAATGAATTAGTGTCCAGAAATAATATATGTATCAATTGTTTCACACTAAATAGTATTTCTGGACACTTTATTTTGATTCCAAACATACAGTATATGTCATTTTCAGCACACTTGATGGAACAGGCCAATATACAAAATGTGCTCCAACCAAAACTGACCAAAAGTAAAAATCCAAGACTAATATAATATCCAAAAGATAGAGTTTAGAAAAAAGTTGTGAATGATGTATGAACATGTGCCATACACATCCTACCAAAATAATGTTAATTTCCCATAGTTCTACTGCTAATAAACATACGAATATGACCCATCAGTATGCCATAAAAAAACCTATACTGCATCCGGCTCATTTCATGTCTGTTAGTATACATAGTCCTTCATCCATATAGCTTTGCATTTGGTACAAACTGAATAGATTGCCTTTGTGTACACTGGTAGGTGTGCTTCTCCCAGAGTTAGTTAGTTGTGTTAGGGTCCTAAGGAAGGATTATATGAATAAGTTGTTCAGTGAGGGATTATCTGGGATGAGTGATATTTCCAGGGGCAATATCTAGGTGAGTTGGGGGTGGTAAGGCAGTGAAATTTGCAGGGATACTATACTGCTGAGTCAGGAAATACACAGATACAATGTGTAGCTGGGCTAGGAAGGGAATCATAGGCACATTTCCAGTGACATCGTGGAGCTAGGGCTAGAAATATGTGGAACAATAGCATATGCAGGTACACTGCTGAGAAAAGGATGGGTTATATGGAGATTTCTAGGCGCAGTGTGCTGCTGAACCAGGGAATAGGAACATTTTCATGAATGCTGAAGTATAAAACAGAAAACCCCTAAAGAAAGAGTGTGCAAAAAACAAAACTAAATAACGTAGCTATCTTTTTAAGTATTGATCAAACCAACAAATATCAACTAGTATGATACAGTAGTTCTCTGTAGTTATGCACCATTATTTCCCTGATAATAAAATGGTACCACTATAATTTCCAATGTGGATTCTTTAAAATTCATATGGTAGGTTAAATAAAATAAAGATTTACATTTCTTTGAAGTCTTGTTTAAAGTGACCCTGCCTAGAAAATACATAAAATGTACACTTACTGTACATATTTGGCACCTCTACGCTATTAAAGAATCCACACACCAATGGAAGAAACCATTAGCCAGATGTGACAGGGGACAGCCTGCAACCACACAAACTGGTCACTGTTTGGTCACTGTGGTAATCATTCTCCCAGGGTGCTTTACAGGGAGTCTTAAAATGAGGTGGACCTGGAGGAGCCTGCTATGCACACTAGTGTTAGTTTACTTTAATATTAATATTGGTCGATAAGTTGCATTGAACACATTGTAATTACAAATTAAATTTTGACAATAATGTGGTATCCTTGTTTCCCTTTTCTTTTGTCAAATTAGACTTAAAAGATAATTAGATTTGATAAAAGACAGAAGTGTTTAACATAATGTCCTAATTTTTTGAATTTATTTTTAGGGGGAGCGTTGTTCATTTTCCATTCAGATGTGGCACTATTTTTGCTGCGGGCTTCGCCATGATCTGTGGACTGTGGTTTCACCAGTTATTGCCCAGAAGATCCTTTCTGAAGTCATGGAGCAGACTTTGGCTCTGCTGACATTTAGATATTGCCAGGCTCACCCTAGCTACAAGCGAGCATCACAAATAAGGTATTGACTACATTATATGGAATTGTAATCAGGATAAGGAGCTTTTTTAGAGCTAGGAAATAGCTGTACTGATGCCCATATCAGGCAGTCAGATGATTGCTTTAAATTATTTACTATGGCTTACTATGAAATTCTAGTTTTATTAAGAAAAAGCCCCCTAAGGTCAACAGTATACATTGGACATGGATTTAGCTGTGCATGAATCTTATACAATCAGGAAGGCAAACTTTGATAAACTATGCAACATAGTGGGTGAAATCGAATGGGAACACTTATTTGATAAACTAAACATTGACCAAAAGTGAGACTGTTTCAAGAACAAATAAAAAAATGCTATTACCAGGTGCATACCGCTGGGTAACAAAAGTAAAAGATAAAAAACAAAGCCAATATGGCTAAATAAAACAGTAAAACAATACATTAAAGAAAAAAAGTAGCATTTAGTAAGTATAAAACGGAGGGGACGGTATTGGCATTCCAAAACTACAAAGAATGTAATAAAAGATGTAAACTGGTAGTCCGAGCAGCTAAAATTAAATGTGAGAAATATATTGCGAAGTTAGTAAAAAGAACCCCAAAATATTTTATCAGTACATAAACAGTAAAAAGAGGAGAAAGGAACAAATAGGCCCAATAAAGGACATAAATGGGAGGTTAGTCACAAACGATAGGGAGAGGGGCGAGGCGCTAAATACTTTATTCTCGTCGGTATTCACCAAGGAAAAAGACGGGTTTAATGTACATGATAAAACACAAAATTTAACAAGAAATACACTTGAGTGGTTGACAGAAACCGGGATACAACATGGGCTTAAACTACTAAATGCAAATAAAGCATTATGACCTGATAATCTACATGCCAAGGTACTCAAGGAACTCAACAAGGAGATAACGAGACCATTGTTTCTAATTTTTAAGGAATCCGTAATGGCTGGCAGAGTGCCAAGCGACTGACGAAGGGCTAATGTGGTACCTATATTCAAAAAATGGTCAAAATGCCAACCGGGGAACTATAGACCAGTTAGCCTGACATGCATAGTATGTAAACTGTTAGAGGGAATTATTATGGACTACTTAGTGGAATTCGTCCAAGATCATGGCATAATAACTGATAATCAGCATGGATTTAGGAAGGATCGTTCTTGCCAGACCAACCTGCTGACCTTTTACAAAGAGGTTAGTAGAGATCTAGATGGAGGGTGGACGTAGTATATCTGGACTTTTCCAAAGCATTTGATACGGTGCCACATAAACTGCATAAACGCTTGTTATACAAGCTAAGGGCTATGGGCATAGATTAATTAGTGTGCACGTGGATAGAAAACTGGCTACAAGAACGTACACAAAGAGTATCATTAAATGACACCTTTTCAGACTGGGCGGAGGTCATGAGTGGCGTGCCCCAGGGTTCTGTGCTGGGTCCCATGCTTTTTAACCTATTTATTAATGATATTGGGGAGGGAGTGAGTAGCCATGTCTCAGTGTTTGCTGATGATACGAAAATTGAGAGGGTAGTAGACACAGATTTAAACATTATAACATTACAGGAGGACCTGGATAAAATCGGGGAGTGGGCAACTGTATGGCAGATGAAGTTCAATGTCGATAAATGTAAGGTAATGCACCTTGGAGTTAAAAATAGGCAAATGGACTATACACTTATGGGTATGCAACTAGGGAAGTCGGAAACAGAGAATGATCTGGGGGTCATTATAGACCGCAGATTGAATAACAGCTCGCAGTGCCAGGCTGCTGTAAACAAAGCAAGCTGTGTTCTGGCACAACCAAAATTGGTTGAAAAAAAATTTCAACACACATAGGGCGCAAGGGGTTCTTCACAGTTAGAGCGGTTAAGGTCTGGAACTCGCTGCCGCAGGAAGTTATTTCAGCTAAGAGTGTGGAATCATTCAAGAAACTCCTGGACGAGTTCCTCGGAGACCATAATATACAGGGGTACAGGTACTCCTAAGAGCAAAATCATACATGGACTAATACACACTCACACACCAACTCAAACATAAATTCACACACACAATAGGTTGGACTTGATGGAGTTATGTCTTTATTCAACCTCAAATACTATGTAACTATGTAAGGGTTGCAGCAATACTGATACTAGAATCAGTATCGGTGCCAATACTGAGTATTTTGGTGAGTACTCATACTCGCCCAAATGCTCCGATAATTACCCCCGATACCGGAACTTCCGGTCAGAGGGAGCCTTACCAGCCAATCAGCATTGAGCCAGAAGAACAGCATGGAGCCAGCTTCCAGGCCCGGGAAGCCGGCTCCATGCTAGCAGAAGTATTGATACTAAGTATCTGTGAGTTTGGGAACACCACAACCTGGTTTGGGAACAGCACCATGCAGGACAGACGAGCTCTTCAGAGGGTGGTGCGATCGGCTGAGAGCATCATCCTTACTAAGCTCCCTGACCTGAATTCAATCTACAGCAAGCGGTGCTGGACCAAGGCCAGGAAGATTGTGAGGGACCTCAGCCATCCCAACAATGGACTTTTCTCTCTGTTGAGGTCTGGGAAGCGCTTCCGCTCCCTAAAGGCCAACACAGAGAGACTGAGGAGAAGTTTCTTCCCTCAGGCTATACGGTCTCTCAACCAGATCTTTGTATAGACATGCACTTTACCGCCTGACTAGACTAATGTTCTTACACTCACATTTACTGCACATCTGCACTTTAAAAGAATGGTCAATACACTGCTGGTCAACATCTTAATTCATTCACCCCGTATTGCTGCTGTTTGCACCCGCACACTTTACACTTCATACTGTATTTGAGTTTGCATTTTTAGTTTTATTTAATTTTTAATATTTAATTTTTAATACTTATATTCTCTTTTGTCAATGTAAATATGACATTTTTTATATGTATATTTTATATTATATTGGATTTTTCCCCCTTACCTGTTTACTCCTCCCCCTCTTTTTGCAGTTGTGTAAGCATTTCACTGCATGTCATACTTGTACGATTATGTATGTGACAAATAAATCTGAATTGAATTGAGTACTGAATGATAAATGTCGGTACTTGTACTTGATATCGAAAAAAACAGTATTGGTGCATCCCTATTATAAAGCATTACCAAAAGGAATTGCCTGTGGCAGGGGATGCCTTGAATTTGCTATAAACTCTGTGCAGGCCTCTGCGAAAAGAAGTGAGCCAATCACCCAAGCAAGAATTGAGATTTCTGGGGTGTTCTGCAAATTAACAAAATGCTACCTGGATACCACAATTGCACTGAATTTTTATTTACATTTTAGGCAGTTTGAGAAAGTTATAGCAGTTTCAGACTGATATGAAAAACAATCTTTTTAAAGTGCATCTATGGGCAAAATTCTAGCCCAACTGGTGCTTTCGCTCATAGCAACCAATTGGCGTCTATTTTTCATTTTTTTTTCCCGCACAGCTTAAAAGATGAAAACCTAAGCCCCTTTTTTCTTTTTTTTTTTTTTAAATTGCCCCATTGCATTGGATATGGGC